CTTTCATTGGGATGTGTGTTTGTGAGCCAGACTAGTTTCGGAGAATTTCACTCCTCATCAGTGACCCTGTTCACTACCACCAATGAAATATAAAACCAAACCAAGCCTTTGTAGTAGTGAGGTATCGAATATCGAACTGATGTATTTAAGTGTTTTACTCTCACAAAAAGAAACCTATCATTGTATAGGTATTTGAAGAACTTGTAGCATTTGGTTTGATATTTCATTGGTGGTAGTGTCGAGGTTCACTGATGAGGAGTGGAATTCTCCGAAATTAGTCTGGCTCACAGACACACACTCCAATGAAAGAATAGACCATTCCAAGCTTTTACTGGTTGTTAAACAAATGTTTAAACAACTCTATTCAACTATGTACCAGCTGCCCAGTGTCGGCTAACAATACGAATAATTAAATTGCGGCGAAATGCTACAAATACTTATAGACTGATAGGTTTCTTTTTTGTGAGTGTAAAACACTTAAATACACAGTTGTTCTTACTTTACCTTTCCCTGTGAAAGTAGACATGAAAACACCAGTGATAAACGTTGTCATATAGACATGAATACACCAGTGATACACGTCGTCTCATACACATGAAAACACCAGTGATAAACGTCGTCATACAGACAAGAAAACACCAGTGCTAAAAGTCGTCCTATAAACATGAAAACACCAGTGATAAAAGTCGTCCTATAAACATGAAAACACCAGTGATAAAAGTCGTCATATATAAAGCGGTTTTGTGGGAATGGTGAATTACGAAATTTTTCAATTCTGGAAATCTCCGTTCTCAGGAAAATACTATCTAGTTCTAATATTGAAGTGTTCTTTTAAAATTTTAAGGCGTCGAAAAGGCGTTTTTAAAACTCAGAAATTATTACTATCTCTCTAACATTACTCTTCTTTAGCAACGTTTTTTTCCTGTTTAAGACACTATTACAGTAAACTTAGTAGGTTATCTATAATATAACTGTCCTGTAAAATAACGATAGCTCGAAATGGTTAAGTTGTTCAACGAAATTAAAAGTACAAATAAGTTTTCAAGTATTTATGGCAAAGTCACCGTCCCTAATTTTCAATTACTGATCAATGGGAAAGCAGCATAAACAGTAATATTTTATCATCCACTGTCACTTTTATAACGCACACACTGCTTAAAATTCGTAGTATATTTTGTGGTATCGCACGGATTCTAACTAGGATCCTTGCCTCCGAAATCCAGAACTCTGCCACAGGGAGATCTCGCCCCTTACAATTATTCATAATTTACACACAAAAATAAAAGAATTTCACCAATTACAAAACAGCCAGAAATTAGTTTTTAAGCCACATGTTACATTGCGTTTATTTTCTTTATTGTATTAAAATAGGCACAAGTGTTAGTTTTTGTCATGCTCATTACAATTTATTTCCATCACTGATCAAAGACCTATTTGATCACGATTTACCTTTCATTGTTTCGAGATGGCGCTGCACTTGAGCTTTTCAAACTCTTCCGCATTAGAACGCGTTTCCATTCTGGTACGGTGTTTATTTTCTGATCCTCTGCACGCTTCTATTCAGAATTACTAAAGTTTTTATACCATTTCTGTCTTTTTTAATTTTATAAAATAAACTTTTAATTTTGTTTACATCTATCGAAGCTAAAATACAGAAATTTCAAAATAAAGCGGAAACACGAGTTTCTTTAAAATAAAGTTCAAATGTTCAATTTTAACTACCTATTTAAATATAAATGACTTTAGGTGTATTTTGAAAAATTCAAACACAATTCACACGATTTAAACTATCATCTGTATAATTCTACAGTGTTGTTCTTACAGTTTCTCATTACCTCTATCTTATAGCTCGAACTCAGGACAATGGGGATTTTATGAAAGGGACCCCATTTAACAAACAGAGATAGATAAATATTGATGAAAGTTGATTTT